ACGACGACGACGACGACGACGACGACGACGACGACGACGACGACGACGACGACGACGACGACGACGACGACGACGACGACGACGACGACGACGATGACAACAACAATAATAATAATAATGGAACATTTATTATTAAATAATGATTTTACATAGTTAAAACAGGCAACCAGCACTCACTACAATATGTAGGCATCCAGGATGCTTTTATGGTACATAGAGTTAAAAGTATTTACAATATGGTGATAAAAGTCAAGATTACCAATATAAAAGTTCTGGGTTATTCCATTCCCTGTCTCTCATGCAAAACAGAAAGTACGTAGCCCTAATGCAAACTCCACATAGTTTTCTAATTAAAAAGTTTCTTTGAAATATGTCTAAGCTCATCACATTCTCTTAAAAGCCATAAATCTTTTTACACTCTATTCCAATTACACCAATAGCCCCCATTGATAAATTGAGATACTCAACGGTATTATATCGTTGCTTCAAAGCATTACAAAGTTCCCTATAGCGTGTTGTTTTCCTAATACAGTTTTTAGTAATGTTAGTCTCAAATCCAACAGTCAATTCAATTACGTAAATTGCTCGATTGGTGTAGTTCTCAATGATCATATCCGGTCGGTCATCAAATCCAGTTACAACTGATGGATTTTCGAAGCCTTCGACATCAAGAGTAGAAGCGTAGATCTTTCTTAACGCTCGATAAATACTCGACAAGATGTTTAAGAATTGAGTTGCGACGCCAAGTGTAGCGCCCTTCGTCCAGATGTATCTTACAAGAGGACACGACATGTCGTAAGGTTTGCACGTTTGAGCACGCCTTGCAAAGATTGCTAGATGTTTTATTCCAGAGAAGCATGTTCTTTAAGGTAGGGAATGTGTTATTCAAATATCTCGTGATAAAGTTGTAAATGTTCTTGGGTAGTTTGTCTATAGTGGCATGCCAATCTTTAACCATGTCAGGAAAGGCCTCATTCTAAATCGATTTTATAATTAAACTTTGTGAAGTTAAATTATACGTGATGTTTGCAACTTTTTCTGCCCGAATTTCTTGAATAACTTCCTTCGGCTTGAGATAATTCGATCGTACTGAACATTAGTATTTGTACTACTGGCTTTGTACACTTGCCGAATGTCAGGTGAACTTGAGTTTTTCAACTTGCTTCTTAAAATAACTTGACATTGTGTGAATTTCGCCGATATATCAATTATGTTCAGACAAAATTTGGATTTAGCAAGTAGTAAAATATCTAAAGTACCACAGGGAGGTATTTCAAGCCATTCACGGAATTTGTTGTGACACATCATATCTAGTGTTTGTCGTACCCAGGTTTTATCAATGTCCGCAATTGTCAGATGCCAGGAGATTTTAGGTAACAAATATTTCATATACAATTGTAACTTAAACTTCGGGTGTAATGCAAGTCGATCAATTTTTCCCAGAATTTCCTCGGTCTCCTCGAACAGCAAACGTTTGTGATCAGAATTATCCATAGCAAAATTATAGTAACGACCAAGATAACAGAAACTTTCATTACGCTTTACTGTAGGAATCATACACTGATTTAGATATAATTTTGGAAGGAATTGGGAGTTTGTAGAGTTCAATTTAGAAACCCCAAAAGTTTTACACTTATCAATCCGCAAAGTCATTTTGGCCCATGAACACCAAGCAGTAAAAGCGTTCAGTAGAATTTGAGCTTCGTACTCCTCACCAGATGTAATAGCCGCATCGTCAGCAAATTGAAACCAATGCTTTGGCCTTAGTAGGGGTTGTGAAGACGTAAATCCAAGTTGAATAAATCTATCAGACTTGATATATTGAACATAGGTATTGACTAGCATGTTAAACAACAATGGGCTAAGACAACAGCCTTGCCAAACTCCTCTATTAACTCTGATGGAAGTCGTTTGGTATGCATCAGTAACCACAGATGAATAAAAGTTGCTGTATACATTTTCAACGCATTTACGAAAATGCTCCGGGATATGTTTATACTGCAATACAGTGGAGATTAGTCGATGGTGAACCTCGCCAAAAGCATTTTTTAAATCCAACAAAGTTACTGTTAGAGAACGCTGTTGTTTTTTTGCTTGCTTGATTAGAAATGCTAATTAAGTGTGCGGTGTGTTCAAATGTACCAGACATTCCAGGGGTAAAACCTTTTTGAATGCTGCTTTCAATAAAATTATTCATTAACAGGAACTCGTATACCTCGTATTACGCAAGATAGACATGAAGATTTTCAATGGAACTGGCTGCAAAGTAATCGGTCTAAAGTTTTTAGGCTCATCGAGGGAATCTTTTTTGTGAATCAAAATGCTAACTGCTTTCTTCCAAATATCCGGTATTTCATCCGACTTCCAAACATTTTGAATTATAGCAGTTAAGTACGATCTAAGGTATGCAGATTTTTTATAGAAAATTGGTCCAACGGGCAAGCTGAGCCATTAGATTTCATTCGTCTAATAATTGTGGTTATTCTTGCATAAGTAGGAGGATCTGAATTGAATTTATGCGTAGGTGTCGATAATGAGGGTATCCAGTCAGGTATTGTGAAATTATGCGTGGGCAATAAACATTGCCACATGGTAATAAAGTAATTTGTACAGCTTGACAGGTTAAAGGTCGGCAAAAGTTTCTTTCCAAAATCATGTTTCATTTTCGTATAACGCCAAAAGTTTTTTTTTAATTTCTTCGTCATCATTGAGGGAATTTAAACCGGAGGAAGATCCTTTTTTCGGAGCTCAGTTACGTAATAGTTTTGAAACGTACCTAATGTTATTCACATCAGTGATAGATTGATGCTTCAATGCTTTCAATTCACGTTTCAACTCTTGCTTAGTATAATTAGCATACTTCTTGTCGAATTCTTCGTCAAGAGCATTTTTCTTATTCACTGTCCCGAAGTTTTCAGCAAAATAATCATAGACTAAATTTGACATTTTGATCGCACATTCGTTTATTGATTTTTCGTTCACATCACATATTGGTAATTCCGCTCTAAAATACAAGTTCGCTTCCCTCCATTCACATTCGTTTTTAGGCAATTTAACACCCGGCTTAAGACCAGGAGTATCATCCGAAATAAGGCCGTCAAGTTCGACAGATAAATCATCGTCTAGATTGTTACTTCACTCTCCTCAAACAAAAGTTCATTATTCATACCTTTAACAAATCGACACGATCTTTGATGGGTTTTAAGACCTCTAAAATTTTTATACTTCTTCCCACAACACCATTGGACACCATCAACATTTGAAATTCTACCTTGATTTCTCAAAACAGCTTCATTTGTATTATGCGTTTCTTGCACTGAACTACGATCAATCAGCGTAGGCTGCTCGTTTCTTTCGTTAACACTTTCGCGATTATTAAGCTTCTCTTTACAACGCCAAGCATGACGACCAATACTCTTAAATTGAACGTGGCAATAAGTGCAAACCACCAACACGAAGAGCCAGAATAATACCGTTTTCATCATGAAAGACAGGCAATTTCGTCCCAGACTCAAATAGTCAACAAGAATACGATAAAAGATCCAGTAAAAATTGAAATAAAATCTGTACCAGATAACAAAATCGTTAAAACATTAACACCCTGCAGGAGCAACGAAAGACACGTCCGACTCCCTCGAGGGCCTAATAATAATACTAATAATAATAATAATAATAATAATAATAATAATAATAATAATGGAAACTTTATTACTTTAAATAATATATATACACACTACAATGATAAACCTCTCTTTACAAGTAGTTTACCAGTGTCTACTTGAATTAACACTCTACATAATAACAATATTAGTATGACATTAGTTGTGGGTTATCCCATTCTTTGTTACGCTTACAGAATATATAATACGAGGACCTGATACATATATTAATAATTTTCCGAACATAGTACTTTCTACATTGTTCATCAAACTTTAGATCTTTCAGCATTTCGGTGAAATCTAGCGACGGGTGGCTGAAAACTCCTAATGAGCTAATCGATAAATTTACAAATTTCACTTTTTCATAATTTTTGAGCTGTTCGTTAATTAGATCTTGATATTTTTGTCTTTTTCGAGTTGCATTAGTGAGGAGATTAGATTCAAATCCGACGGTAAGTTCAAGTATATAAATACATTTGTTTTCAAGTGTTATCAAAAGATCAGGGCGCAATTCATCTCCGGTGATAACAGATGGACTGATATAGCCAGGAAGGTCAGCATAAAGGTTACAATGGTTCACAGATTTAAGTATGGATGCTATGAAGTTAAGCACCGAATCATGACGCCACGTGAAACGTCCTTCATTTAGGTAGGTCTTGCATCCAGCGACGACGTGAAGAAGTGATTCTGGATTCAAACAAAACGAACATTCGGATGTTGGTGATATTCCCCATTTCAGAAGGTTTTTGCGAGTCGGAAGAGTGTTATTTATATACCGGATAGTGAAGTTAAATGTATTCTTGGGAAGTTTACTCTGAACGGAGGACCATATAGAGTTGAATGAGAGTGTAGAATGTTTAATGATATTGGAGAAAAATGAGCCTTGTGAAATGAGGTAATAATAATAATAATAATAATAATAATAATAATAATAATAATAGTAGTAATAATAATAATAATAATAATAATAATAATAATAATAATAATAATAATAATAATAATAATAATAATGGAAGCTTTTTATTTGATATTTACGATATCCTATATATACATTGATAAACCTCACTTAATAAAAGGTAGCTTATCGATGTCCACTTGAATTGAATATAAAACTAAAATAAATACACAGTTGAAAATCTTTTAAATTTAGTGAAAAGTTTAAAAGTTCCGGGTTGTTCCAGTCTTTGTTTCGTCTGCAGAATATATAATACGACGTGCGAATACAAGTAGAAATTATTTTCTTTTTTACATATTTAATACGTTGTTCGTCATACTTCAGATCATGGAGCATATCAAATATAGTATTCGTCGATTCACCAAATACACCTAAACAGCTTATAGATACATTAACAAACTTAACTTCATCATATATATTTTCTTGATTAGTAATTAGAGATAAATATTTTTCATGTTTTCGATCCGAGATAGTTTTCAGGTTTGTTTCGAATCCGACAGTTAATTCTGGAATGTACAAAATCTTATTTGCAATTGTCTATAGAATGTCTGGTCGTCAGGGCCGAAACTAGCCCCTTTTAATTGGGGGGGGGGGTGTCTGCTAGAATTGCCCTGCGAAAGCCGATAATGCCCTGCAGCAAAAAAATTTTTGGCCGCTATTTCTCCCAAAAATGTTAGTAGTAAGGAAAGGCCGGTTCTAGGACACACACCTACGACTTGCTCGTAGGGTCAACATTTTTTAAGGTTTCGCCCAGACTGACCTTCATATGTCAATTCCCAAGGTCAAATTTTGGAACACACCCCTATGATTTGCTCGTAGCGTCTACATTTTTACAGGTTTGCCCAGACATGCACGTCACTTCAGGTTTTCCTTGCGCCACTCTCGGAACCCTCTGTCTCCCTCCCGCACATCCCTTGCACAGCCTTTTCAAGTCCTTCACTATGACTTCCACAAACGTCTGCCCAATGCGCCTTCAGAATGCTTTTCGAAGACTTCCCAAAGTCTTCCCGAAGTTTTCCCAAAGTCTTCCTGAGGTTTTTCCGAGGTCTTCCTAAGGTCTTTCCATTACTGTCTTAGATCCTTATGTCCGATTACCGTTGTGTTTATTCCATCCGTATGGACCAGCCTTTTGTTGTCGTTGCTGATAGGGCTACCTTAACCACCCTTTCCGTATATACTTCGTATAGTTGTAGTTGTAATAATAAATTACATATTTTAGCATATATTATTACATCTCCTTTTTTAAAGTTTTTTTACTAGGGGGCCTATTCTAGCTAACTTGATTATGTTAAATACAATTCAATTCTAATATTCTTATTACAAAGAATCATTAAACCTATTTTTTTTGTGATGTTCTACACCGTTTGCTTACATACGATAAACTTATTACTAATTACATGAAAACATAATTCTTGGCTTAACGACTCTATTACATCTAGTTACATATGATGTCTATGATCCTGTTTTTGTTTGGCTAGATATTGCGGGTGTAGTATCATTGGAACTGGCCGTTAATTTACTTTGCAATAGCTGTGATGGTGCATGTGGTGCATTGCTTGTACGCATAGGCGATATTCGAGACTTACCTGTGTTATTCCTAGTTATTTGAATATCTCCCGTGGGGCTTTCACTACTAGGATCAAAGGATTGGAATTTAGCAGATCTATGAATAAGTTGCTGTCTATTTCGGCGATATAACCCACCTTGGGAATTTACAACAAATGACCCATCCCCTACCCATGTTAAGACAGTGCCCGGTCTCCATGTTTTATCTTTCTGTTGTATTTGAATACCTTGTTCTAATTCAAGTGGGGATAAGGTTTTTACAGCCTTGTCATAATATTTCTTTTCATGTGCTCTCTTGGACTCAAGCTTAGATCGTACCACAGAATGGTCGATAAACTTAGGTTCCAACTGTTGGGGAAGTATAGGAATAACAGATCTTAATAACCTTCCCTGTAATAACTCTGCTGGTGAATAAACTATATCAAGAGGTGTAGATCGATACTCCAAGATACCTATTAAAGGATCCTGCCTATCCAATCTAGCATGTTCAGAATTATATTGTAACATGTAACATGTTCAAAATTATATTTTCTAGAAAAATCCTTAAACTCCTTAAACGCCCATTATCAGAGACTACCCTTTCAGGAATGCCATATCTTGCAAACATTGGATTCATTTTGTTGATGACACTAATTGATGTAGTACTTTGCAACTGTGCAACTTCAAAGAAACAGCTATAATAATCAACAAACAAAAGAAAATCTTTCCTATCCCATTCAAATAAATCGGTCTCCACAACCTGTCATGGTCGATCAGGTATTGGATGGTTAATGAGGGGCTCTTTCTGGTTCGAATAACTATATCTTAAGCAAACAGGGCAATGTAATATCAACTTAGTGATATCAGAAGACAACTTGTGCCAAAATAAAGTGTAGCACGTGCTCTCTTCAAACATTTCTCAATCTCCATATATCCAGTATGAAGGACACCTAAAATTTCTGATCGAAGCACCTTGGGAATTATAATCTTTTCCCCTTTTAATATAACTTCATCTGCAACTGATAATTTTTCTCGAAAATTCCAGTACTCTATAATTAAAGGGTTACATTGTTTCCTAGTTTCAGGGCAACCATTTAGGATGGTCCATTTTAGCAATTGAAGCTGTACATCTCGGTCAGTCTCAAATTTAATATTCTGTATTGACACAGCTCATAACTTATGGACATGTATCGGATAAGCAGTTGCGTGACAAAGTATCAGCAACAGAAATCAGTTTACCAGGAACATTCACTAGGTCTACATCGTATTTCTGTAGTTGAACCAACATCCTCTGTATTCTGGGAGGAGCAGCATGCAATGGTTTTTTCCTAATAAGAATGAATGGTTTGTGATCAGTCTCCACTCGTATCCTTCGCCCATAAATATAATGATGAAATTTTTTACACCCAAATATTATGGCATGCATTTCTTTCTCTATTTATGCATAATTAATTTCAGTTTGTGTAGGTGACTTAGATGCATATACAATGGGTTTCCCTTCTTGTATTAAAACAGCACCCAAACCGATTTCAGATGCATCTACTTGCAATGTAACTGGTTTATGCTGGTCATAATATACTACCGGGTGTCCCAAAAAAAAGTACTCCGGTTTGATTTATAATAACTTCTAAACAAGTAAAGCTATCAAACAGAAATAACTTGCATTAAATAGAGGAAGGATTAACTTAGATTTTGATATATTACAGTTGTATTTTACTTAAAAATTCACGGAGATATTAATGTTCAAAATCGGGAGCATATTTTGGGATGTGTCTAAAATTAGCGAAAATCGGCGTATCAAATTTTAACTCCAGCGTTTGTTTGCTTAATGACATATCAGGGTAAATTGTATTTCAGCGAATTGTCGTTAGGGTTTGTAAGGGATATGGCGTAGATTTAGACATCTTACATGTAAGTCTTAACTGATTGTTTCCTGAAATATGAACGTTCGAAATTATGTAAGTATTTAATAGGTTTTTGCAAACTTAAGGTACTGAAAGACCATGCAAGGCAGGCGCTTCAATTTTTCTTAAATAACCTATTTTTTTATGTTTTTCATGGGTTCAAAACAAAGTTGATTATTCCTCGGTTAGAGCAGGATTAATATTGTTTTTTAATGGAGGAAATAATATTGCTTTTTGCAAATACACATCACAGTATCAAAGCTACTATTTTGTTACGTTTTGTTCCAAAAATGTTGGATGTCTCCGGGGAGTTGCATGCATGCTTGTTATATCTTTACTTATGGAGTTGTATGGTTTGATTGTGTTTCATTCTCAGTTTATTTTGAACTTGCCAAGATTAAGAAAGGCAAAAGAGTTTGGGTGTTCTTAACAAGATTTCAGAACGTTGCAGAAGTTAGAAAATTCATTCAATGTGAAGTTAGAAAATTCACAATTCCAATGTGACAGCGTGCCCTAATTCAGAAC